ACTATTTGGTACCAGAGCCAAGCAAACGCAAGCGGCCAAAGAACATTGAAGCCAGAACAAGGGTGGCCAAGTCTCAGAGCAGGTTGGCCATCCCACGCAGAGGGAACAGCAGGGAGCAGACAGGCAAAGCACGCAGGCGGCAATGGTGGGCCACAGAGGACTGAGGACACGTCTGACTGCTGGCTGACCAATCTCTAACTGCCCACCCCGTACCCCATGGTTCCCATTCTCATTTGGACTCGGGAGCTAAAGTAGATTATGAACGGCTAAACACAGACCCCAAAGCCCCACAGGGGGGAGATGGCTGCCTCTACAAATGCTTCAGCCAAAAGGCCCACATGGGCCCTGCAGACAGCAAGCCAGCAACAGCTCTGAGGGGAGGAGGCAGGTGGGTGGGCCCACAAGCAAGTGACCAGGTCGCTCAAAGCGGGCAGGCGGGAATCTGGGTGGAGGCCGACACCAGGGATTGGCCTAGCGGCTGCTGGTTCCTGTCTGGGAAAGTGGCAATCCCTCTCCCACGTGGCACCCACTCGGATCACAATGCTAACTATGGCTGGAATGGAGGGCTGGACAAGGACACTCAAGAGTGGGGAGAAGAAGTACAACTTAAAAAAAAAACCTAAACCCATCGGAGTTCCTGCCTATCTTGTAGAAAGGCAAGCTGGCTATGAGCAAATGTTTTAATCAAACATTGAGGGAAAAACACTTTGGAAAGCATACAGAAAAAGGTAGTTAATGTTGAATCGCTTGGAAACGGAACCTCAGGGAGGCTAACCCAATGCACCCTTGGTCAACTTTTGCTTCCTAAATTCCTTGTCTGACTTCTGGTCCCAGTGCACGTGGAAAGGACAGCGCCGCGAGGGGAGGGCTGGCTGCTCAGAGGGTGCGCGGGGTGTACTCAGGCAGCCGCTGCAGCTTCTCCTTCTCAGCCTCACTTTCATCCCGCGCTATCACCAAGGAGTGTGAGTAGCCCATGGCCACCTGTGGAAACAAGCCGGTGGCAGCCAATGCACAGGCGGGTGTATGCCGGGAAACCCTTTCCTCCCCACTGAACACCTGGTGTTTCAGGACTGGGGACCAGGCAAGCCCCACCCCCAGACCCCCAGGAAGTTCACAGAGCCCTCTCTGGGGTGCAGCTCCACACTGTACTTGCCCCAAACACAAGCCACATGTATCATCTGCTCAGAGCTGAGGCCTTGGTCCTGCCCAGGGGCAAACAATCCCAGTATGGGGGCAGGGGGCAGTGTGTGACCGCAGCACCAGGAACTGCACCAGGGACCAGCCAGCAGCCCTGCCTTTCTCTCTCCTGCTGAGGGCTGCACCCTTCCAACACTCTACACAAGACCAGACACACAGCTCAGCAGGCATCACCAGCAGGGACAGGTGCCGGCCTCTCACCTGCTCGGAGAAGATGCCATCCAGAGTCTTCACCTCCTGGGCTGCAGTAGAAGACTTGGGCTTGTGGTCCCCATATCCCTGCAGAGATAACAACAAGTAATGACAAACTACCACTGCAGCAAGTTCCAACCGAAGGGCAGAGCAGGATTCCAGGTATATCAGCCACTGTGGGTTATGGGACAAAATGTATCATGGATTTGGTGACGGTGCCAGGACCCACAGCAGTCAGATCTACACAATCAAAAGCAACATGCTGCAATGTGCTGACACACCAGCTCTGACAACCCTTGACCAAGAGGAAGCAGCTGCTGGTGACAACTTCAGAGATTAAAAGTGGCCAAGAACTGCTGGGGAGCACGGGGCCAAGGACAGATGCCCAAGGCTTACCCTGCCCCCTGGTTCAGCTCCTCTAGGCAACGCCCTTCCGGGCCAAGGCTTCCCAAGCCCACAATGATGCAAAGTTGTATCAGGAGTCTTTTAGAAAAAAATTTTTTTCGAGACAGGGTTTCTCTGTGTAGCCCTGGCTGTCCTGGAACTCACTCTGTAGACCAGGCTGGCCTCAAACTCAGAAATCTGCCTGCCTCTGACTCCCAAGGGCTGGGATTAAAGGCGTGTGCCACCACCGCCCGGCTAGAACATTTTTTAAAAACATTTTCTTGTGTTTGGGTATCTTGCCTGCATGTCTGTGTAGCACTTGCACACTAGGCATCTGCAGAGGTCAGAAGAGCGTGCTGGTTCCCCTAGAACTGGACCGACAGACAGTTGTGAGCCACTGAACAGGCTCTGGAAATCAAAAACCTGCATCTCTGCAAGAGCAAGCAGTGTTCGTAACCACTGAGCCATCACTCTAGCCCCAAGATCAACAGCGTTTTGAAGCAGGGTCTTACTGTGGAGCTCAGGCTAGCCTGCAGTCACTATGCCACTGACACGCTATCATGAAGTCCAGGCTGTCGAAGACCAATTTTGGATGGCCGCCAAAACTATCCATCAGTCAGGTGTAGTGGTGAACACCTTTAATCCCAGCACTTAGGAGGCAGAGGCAGGCAGATCTTTGTGAATTGAGGCTAGCCTGATCTACATAGTGAGTTCCAAGCCAGCCAAAGCTACATGTTGAGTTGCTGTCTTGTAAACCAACAAAAACGCAGTTTCCATCCTCCTCTGAGACAACAGAAACAGAGGAAGGCCCACAGTCACTTTGCCGCAGTCTCTCTGCTGCCTTACAGGGGCCCTTGGAGCCCAGTGACACCTTGAAGCATAAGGACAGCTCTGCTTTGCTGAGAAAACTTCTACTCCAAAAAGGATGATAAAGAAAATCAATGAAGTGTCAAGGGCCAGCCTTTAACGCCAGCACTCAGGAGGCAGAGGCACGCAGATGGATCTCTGTGAGTTCAAAACTAGCCTGGTCTACAAAGTGAGTTCCAGGACAGCCAAGGCTATAGAGAGCCTCAAAAACCAAAACAAAACAGAGTCAAGGGCCAGGCCCCACTGAGAGTGCAACCCTGGCCACAGGAGATACACAAAACCCACAAGCCAACCTTGGCCTCCTTACAAAGGTTAAAGCGCACTGCGCTGTGGGGCCTATGGACAAGACATCTGGACAGTAAGAAGCAAGGGCAGTGGCTTCTGCTCTTACTCCAGCCTCTGGGGCTGAGAAGAAACCAGGAACCCTACCCAGGGAAAACGAAGAACAGAACCGTCCAGGCACTGTGTGGCTGGCCTAATAACACTGATCCACAGGACACGAACCTGTGGCCCTGTCTGCCTATGAAGCACAAAGTCTGGAGACACAGGAACCAGGGCGACTCTTACAGCTTAAGACACTGCCTCCTGAGTGTGGACAACGAGTCCCGACTGCAGGAACATGTCCTGTCACTGTAGCCTGCCACCCTTTCTACAGCAAGGCCAGCAACCAGCTAGGACAGTCTTAACATTGAAAACCAAATGTGACCCACTGCCGTGACAGTCCTTAGTGGAGAACACCGCCCACTCATCCGTATCCTGTTCTCAGGCCAGTCTTGGCTAGTTCAGCTCTTCCCAGGCCTGTTGTGGCTCACCAATTCCCCGAAGGTTGGCGATGGACCCCAGCTGATGGTGCTTTCATCGGCCGCTACGATGATGCTGCTCTTCCTGCAAACAGGCAGATGCTGTCACCACCACCAGAGACCAGGGCCCTGCAGTGTTACCACACCCACCTCCATGCTAACTCAGTACCGTTTGCGGTTTGCACGGCTCTTCCCAGACAGGGAGGGGCCACATTTGTTTGCAGAGCAATAAAAAACCCAGGGCCTCACTACCCATTTCTGTCCTGGGGCTCTCAGAGGGACATCCTTTGGGATGGGGGACACAAGGACCAGCAAGCAATAGCTCAGAGCCAAGCTAACTCATCCACATCCGTCACCTCTAAGTACTGGGTGACTCTGCAGGTGTCCTCCAATAAGAATACAAAGTAAAGGGTCCCCTCTCCTTGAGCTGTGTTGACAAATTACAAGTCCACAGTTTCCAAGCTGAGGGAAATCTGTCCCTTTCTGCTTTTTTCTCCCCAAACAAAAAACTTTCAAAATCAGTTTCCGTGAAGCAAAGAGCCACCTGTCCTCACATCTACCTGCCCTAGCATCTACCGAGCCTGAATTTTGCCCTCTCCCACGTTTTGCGGGGGGTGGGGGGTGGGGGGGGTGGGTGTCTCCTATGTCTAGCCAGGAAGACCTAGAATCAGCAGGCACAGAGACATCCTCAGGAAACAGGCACACAGAACATCCAACACTCAGAGGAAGGAACACATACCATGTGCCCTGGATACAGCTACTTACCCGCAGGCAAGGCTCCGGATCCGCCAGCCACAGAGGTCCTGCACTGCTTTCGGGTACATGGTAGACTCTCGGGAGGTATTGGTGGCCCCCCAGAAAAACAAGCCACCTGGAAGGGTACAAAACAGAGTAGTGTCACGAGCAAGCATCTCAGAACACCAAGGTGAAGGACAGCTGCTTAAAGAACACCACGGAGAACAAGCCAAGGAGGGACAGACATGGCTGTGGACCTGTGGGAGCAGCTGTCCCCAGGAGGAAACCCCTGCACCTGGCTCCAACCACGGGGACCTGAGAAGTTGGGCAGGGAACAGGCACTGACCCACTTCACTGACAGCAAAGGAGCAGGTATAGCCAGCATAGATCTGGGTTGCACCACGCCCCGGGAAGTCGAACAGTTTCACCAGGCGAGGTACCATCTCATCCTTCTGCTCAGCATGGCCCAGCCGGCCATAGCCACCAAAGCCCCAGGAGAAGACTCGCTTCTGTGAGTCCAGGACCAGCTGCAGCGAGAGAAGACACAGGCTGGAATACACGGGTCACTGCTTCTGACCAAAGGATCTGGGACAGCAGATGGCAAAGGAGAGTCCCACAGCCTATATCCATGGCTGCCAGCAGGGGCCGGGGTGCACTCCCTTCATGAGGTGTGATCTTCCTTTCTCTTTAAATGCAGAAGCCAAATGGCTGTCTAATGGCAACACTCTCCAAACTGCACAGCAGGAGGGAAGGCTGCTGCCACCCGCTCTGCGCTTGTCTGCCACAGGTGCACACAGGTGAGGCAGGCACAGAAGTGACAGCTGTTTGCAATCTGCCTCGTCTTGTCTTTGAGGTTTCACATCTAAATAAACCCTGCAAATGCACAGCACAGCTAGCTAGCTCAGCACGGGATGGCAGGGGGACAGCTCAGGGCTAGAACACTTGCCCAGCACAAACAGAGCCCTGGGCTCCACACCCAACACAGCAAAACACAGAACACAGGTTTCCCGGACCAGACAGAAGAGAACAGTGTGCTGGCCTGTGGACCTGCAGGCTTGGGACACCTGCATTTAATCCACTGAGCAGCGCCAAGCAGGCAAGAGGCCAGCTCTGGGACTCGGCTCTTGGGTCCCTTTCTCCTGCCATAGTGAAAGGCCCAGATCAGGCTCACTAATCCTCAACAAAAGACCATGAAGGGCCACACTGACAGGAACACACCCATTAGCCCAGAACCAGAGAGACAAGAGTTTGAGACCAGCCTGGTCTACACAGCAAGTTCCAGAACAGCCAGGGCCACATAGTCAGACTTGGTCTTAAAGTTAAAGCAAAACCAAACCAAACCAAAAAAAAAAAAACCCCAAAAAGCCAAACGACACCACCCAGCAGGTGAAGGTCCTTGCCCTGCACTGAAAGGCTGATGACTGACGTGAAGCACAGTGTCTCTTACTTACCCGTGCACACCGTGAGCACGTGTGCACACGCTAAAACAAAGGCGCTCAAGGGCAGCACACGAAACCCTTCCAGTTGTTTTGCTAATGACCTTGAGTCGACACCCTCAATGACTAACCACTCACACCCTAGCAAAAGGCACTGCCTATCATGTGCTAGTGGCAGGGCATAGACACATACGTGTATACTCATGTTTGCATGTTGTCTGTAAGAGATCTGGACAAGAGACTCACAGGTACCAGTCTACACCAGCATGGGTCTGGGGCAATGAGAAAAGAAACAGGCTTACTGTGTGGTTAGCGCCACAGGCGACATCTCGAACCACCACGTTGGGGACAGGCAAGATCTGCCCGTCCTTGGTCTTCTCGATGAAGATAGCCACTCTCCGGGGCACCAGCTCACAGTCATACTCTATCCTCTGTGCCCGGGCGATGAACTTCCCGTCCGAGTTGTGTCCTGTGGTAATATGACAGGCTGTCAGTGACAAAAGGCACAGGCCAAGGGCACCACCCTGCACCAGCCAGAGACTCAGCCTGCCCAGTTGCTCACGAGCTGGTAGGTAACACAGGGCACTCTTTATATAAAACATGGACTCCCTATGCCGTAGCACAGTCACTTAGGAACACCCTACACATATCCATAAGGACTGGGAAGCAGAGGAAAATGTGTCGCCTCCTGTGGCTGAGGTCATAACAGTGGGTAGCTCACATCTGAAGGACAGTCTCCCAAGCTCCGGGTTGGGAGCTCTGGGGACCAGCAGTAGGAGAGTGTGGACAAGATCCTTCAGCGCACAATTCTGCATTTTTCTCTATGAATCTGCAGTAATTTAAGCATCCTGCAAAGAACATAAAAACCTAGAATTCACAGAGCACCACGTGAGAGCGGGCAGCCTGGCACACTCCAGGCACACTACAAGCTAGCACTGCATGAAGCCTGGTACTAGACCACATGCCTGGGGCCCAGGGACCCTGCACTGGTAGTATATCCCAGCACTTGGGACGCAGAGGCAGAAAGAGCAGGAAGTAAAGGCCATCCTCAGTTACACAGGACATTTAAAGCTCTGACTACATGAACTCTGTTTCAAAAAACCATGCAGAAATGGGTCCAGCCTGGTGGTCTGCACCTTTAACTGCAGTCAGTACTCAGAGGCAGGTGGACCTCTGAGTTTGAAGCCGGTCTGGTCTGTATAATTTCTAGGCCAGCTGGAGATACACGAGACGCTGTCTCAAAAAAAATCCACCAACCAAACATATATAAACAGAACCACCAAACAAACAAAAGCTAGGTGGGCCAGTCCAGACCCAGTAGCCAGAATGCTGGCTCCCCACAGCCCAGAACATTCTCAGTCCCTGGCCAGGCAGCAGCATTGCTATAGCAGTGTGTCAAGAGTCCCCAATGAGGGGGAAGAAAAAAAAAAAAGAGTCCCCAGTGAGACGTCATTGCTGCCAGCCAGTCACTACAGTACATGACGAGTACCCTGTAAGCCCCTCGCATGCAATCCTGTCTGAATTCTAAACAACAATGTCTGCAGAGACAAGAACAGAACTGGGGGATCAAGCTTGTGTGTGTCTTTTTTGAGACAACTTTCACTCTGTGGCCCCAGCTGGCCTGTAACCCACGTAAACTAGACCATCCTCAAACTTGCTACAGTCCGGCATCTGCCCCTCAGATGCTGGGACCGTGTGTGCCAGCAGCCTGTTTCAGAGTGAACTGCCAACAGACACAGGTGAAGTCAGGTTTCGTAATAGCTTTCAACAAGAACTCAGTAGACGACAGCGCACACTGTACTTAACTGTCCCTCCAAAGCCACTCCACGAATGCCATCCTACTGCCAAGATCAAGTTCCCGAAGCCAACCAGGCAGGCTGCAGCAAGACGCTTGTCTGAGGGTGGCGGAGAAGCTGCACTCACAGCAGGAAGGACAGAAACGCACTTCCTGTGCTGGGCCTGGGTATGGCAGGAGGCCTGCCCGTGGCCATGGAAACCGTTTATCCAACAGCCCAAGAACTCCCTGGCAACCAGCAGGGATGTGCGTAAGGGGCTGGTCCTTCTTCACTCTGACTCGAGGTATATTTAGTTTCACAGAGTCACTGTTCCCTGCAGTCTAAGGCCAGCGCACCGCTCTGCTTCTATTTATACTCTCCCATCTGCGCACTTCTGATGACGCCGAGACCCAGCAACCCAGATCCTGGACTGCTGCAGGCTGCTCAGACACCAGCAGGTGGCGCCCACACCTCGCCTCGTGCTCAGGACTGCAGAAGGCACAGGAGGAACTGGCAGGGAGTCAGAGGGGAAAGGAAAATGGAGATCTTGCATGGTAAGTTCTAACAGGCTTGCTGACTTCTCTTGTGCTCTGTGCAGGACGGAGTCCAGTGTGGCGAGGAGTGAGCTGAAGACACAGCAGCTGCCTGCCTAGCTAGGGTTTCCAGAACCACCCCACTCTCACATAATTCTCTCACTTCCAATAAAGGCTCATTTATATAGCTGAAACCGGATGAAAGGGGCTTGGCTTTTGTCCTTCTGCCTGAGACTCTGACACAAATGGATTTCCAAACCAGACTCAGTTACCAGTCTTCACTGACCCCTATAACCTGTGAGTTAACGGCAAGCTGGTCTGCTGAGCAGGAGACGCACTTAGCGGGTAGACGCTGCTACCTGGATCAATTACACTTTTAACGTGTGTGCGCAGCCCCACGCTGCCTTCTGGCTTACATTTACAGTTAGACTACAGAGCTTTTAAGAAAGAGACCTCCATACCCAGCTGGCCATATTCAGGGCACCCAAAGGAATAGAGGTTTCCTTTACAGTCCATCAGCATGCTGAACTCAGCCCCGCAGGCCATCTTGGTAATTGGCTGCCCGTTGTACATAATCTGCAAAGAGAAGACAGGCAGCTTTCAGCTCCATGAGTCTCTTCCTCATTCTGCCCTGGCATGAAACAACAGCCGCTCACAACAGTGGAGTCCACAGTTCAGAAGGCTGCCACTTGATCAGATGTGTATCACAAAGCTTAGTCTACCAGGACCCTTTAACTGCTGGCAACCCCCACCCGGCCAGGACAGCAGAGACTGAACGTTAACCCTCCATCAGCCGGTGACTCAACCACAGGGATGGACAGAGCAAACTCAGTGACCCCAAAGGTCACTTCTGGTGCCAACAATGTTGTCAGCTCCAACTTGAGGACTAACAAGCAGGCTTCCAGTTCATTCGCAGAACTGTGGGTAAGGCATGAGCCAGATGTGAAACGGCTCAAGTAAGGAAGAACAAAGACAGTGGACGGGAGAGTGACAGGCTGGTCCCAGAGCACAGGGTCAGAAACTAAATGCAGAACCTGGGAAAGGCCAGACTGAGGCCCAGACAAAAGCAGCAAGCATTAAACCCGGTGGTCCAGGGGAACCCGGTGCCCAGGCTCATCCCATCCCATCCCTGCGCTAACTGTAACTACCTGACTGCAGAACTCACAACTACAAGGCTTAGCTACCAGCTTCCCCTGCCCCACCCTCACTGACCTCAGGACCAAGACATGTCTGCACAGTGTCTACAGGAGAAGAGAGCCCCGAATCCCCACTACTGGGCTAACACAAACACAGGTTCTCTTCTCCACACTTTCCCTGGCAAAACATCACTTCTCAAACCAGAGCTGCCCAGTCCTGCAGCCCGCAAGCTCGCCTGGTACCTGAGCAGGACTTGGGACAGCATCTGTCTGGTTCCCCAGGCCCAGCTGCCCCATCTTATTCTCTCCGAAGGCAAACACGGAGCCGGTATCTGAAAGAGAGACAAACAGGACAAAAAAGGACGTAAGGGCAGATGGCTTCCAATGGGTTTGGATCAAAGCGATGCAAACAGCTTCTCTGCCAGGCCAAGCACGGATGTGTGTCTGTCCATCCCACGGATAAGAGTGTGGAACAGCGCTGAGCCTGTCATACACAGACCCTGGTCTGGGCTCCCAGGGCCACCAGAGCCCCCTCACTACTTTCAGCAAGTAACTAGCTAACTAACCCGGCCTAGCTAACTCACCAGGCACCATCTTCCTGACACTGGCCAAGGCACTCGCTCCCAGACAAACCATCTTTGGAGCCTTTTTGCCTTAGTTAAGATGAAAAGAGCTGGTTCTTACCTGTCAAGGCCAGAGTATGGTTGCGCCCACATGCGGCCAGCACGATTGCCTCATGGCTGAGGGCCTCGATGAGTCTGGGGGCTTCCACCCTCTTAGTATCTCCATGGCCCAGCTGCCCCTTTTCATTCCGACCTGCAAGGAGACCATGGCTGGCCAGGTAAGCAATGCAAGGACATGCTGGGGCAGTTCCCACCCTCGTCCCTCAAAACAAACCTCCCACAAACCCCTGACAGCTACTCTCTCCAGTGGAGCTGGGATACCCTGACTACATCCCAACAGGAAGCTTCAGGGCCATCCCAATACACCCAGTCTCTATTACTCCAGGAAATGCTTGGTGTGACCTGGCTACTCCACAGGTCTCAAGCTCCAGGAACTTTCCATCCCTTGTAGCGGCTGGGGGACAGTTCCCTGCTCCTCAGGGACTCTGATGCACCTACTGCTGATTTTCTCTACTTACCTATACCCACCCCCACACACCTGCTCTAAGACCCCAGCCCCATGAACCCTCATGACAAGGGGCAGGCCTGCTCTCAACACGCCCCCTCTCTCGCCTACAGGACCACCTCCTCCTGGAGAGCTGCTGTGCTGTATGGGAGACAAATGTGTGACTGCAAGTAGGACCAGTCGGTCCCTGTGGAGGCCTTCACAATACACTGCAGTTCTAGGGAGCCCTGATTCAGCTTAAGGTGGACAAGAGGTGGATCCCAGAACAGCTCAAGTCCTGAAATCCTATCCAGGTCCCAACAGATACAAAACCAAATCCCAAGAGGAACCCTCGGCCCCTCTCTCAGAACAGCACACAGGTTAACAACACGGGGATTACTTGAGGCTGCAGAGCGAGAGCCACAGGCAAGGTGGGCTTATGCTAATCGCCCACAGTGGCCAGACAGCTGAGCCCTAGCACCCTGTGGGAGGAAAGCAGAAGAGGTGACTGGCCTCCCTCGCAGGAGGAACTCTCTGCAGAAGTACACATCAATTAAAGGGCTGGCTCCAGGGCCAGCACTGCGCAGGTGCCGACTTTAAGAGGAGCCTGCCATCCTCAAGTCCAGTGAAGGCAGGCCTGCTGCAGCTCAGGGATCAGGACGGAGGACAGCAGCACCCTGCCTCCTGCTTGGGATGGGGTGCTCCTTCTTGAGCCTTCACCAAGTGTCCAGGAGGGCTCACGATACCTCCTGGCAGGTCTCCACAGCCCAGCTGCTGCTCCAGGGAGCTCCCTCTCTTGCTCTAGGGAAAATCATTCCTGTCACGGGGTCAGCCCTGAGATGCCACCTAGAACCTTGCTGTCGGTGAAAGGAGAACAGAGAGAAGCTTCTCAAGTTGGGGACAGTGACATAAAAGGCTGTGGCCAACGTTGAGGACAAAGCAGCAGGAGGGGCCACGCCAATCCAGAGACACAGAACTGGGGCAGATGCTGGTGTTCACCCAAAGCCTCAGAGGATAAATTTGGGCCACACACACTTGTTCGATGTTTTTTCCAACAGAATTATAAAATTAGCCAAGTGCAGGGAAGACGGCAGATGTTGATATAGTCGGACTCTGGTGCAGCAGCTCATAAAAAAAAAAAAAGGAGGCTCGAACAGACCAAAATAAACACGCCATATGAACTAGAAGCCAGCCAAAGGCAGGGGACAAATGGAGAAGCCAACTCCCCCAGCTGCATGAGCCCCAAGTCTCAGATGATGAGACCCTCCCTGGACGAAGATGGGGAGTCACAGGAGAGTCTGGCTAAGGGAGGCCGAGACTCAGGATGAATGGTGGGCGGACAAAGACCAGTCTCAGACCTGAAGCTAGGAGCCACATGGCTCAGCCATCGCACCTTGTAACAAGACATGCCAACTACAAAGCCAGGAGTATAACATTTAGTGATGGACACACGGAGACCTCACAGCACAAAGGTGCTGAAGTCAAACAAGGGCTGGGTGAACGGACAGACAACACAACGAGGACTGACAGCCGGTTGGAGAGATGGCAGCATCAGAAAGACCACACTTGTTTTAAGTTTAGGAAAACATTTGCCAAGGCAGAGTCAGAAAACAGGGTCGGTGAGATGGTCCTTGGGTAAAGACACTTTCGAAGTAAGCCTGGGGCCTGGGTGTCAATCCCTAAAACCCACATACACAGGGCAGGCAAACACACACACCCACGCATGTGCGCACGCCTTGGATCCAGACAGAAAATGGCCTCTTCTAGGTAACTTCAAGTCCCTTCAAGCCCCACTTCAGAGCATGTCTGTGTAACCCACCGACACTTACCCCAGCTCCACAGCTTCCCTTCTGTTGTGATGAGCAGGCTGTGGGCAGCACATGAACCTGAAACCACAGTTCGCACCCGGACTCCTGACAGGCACCCATACCTATGGGGCCCCCACAAATTCTGACCAAGGTTGCGGTAAGCAGCTACAAAGAGAAAAACACAAATCAAACTCTGCAGAACATGAAGGGGCAGGTAAGGAGAGCACCCGGATATCACCTAGGGGTCACAAAGAACAGAAGCCTACCCAGGGTCACCTCAGACCTACAAACAGCTGCTGGTCCCCAATCCTAATACAGGGCAGGGCTGGCCTTCCGGTGCCCCACCTGGAGTGACACAGGGTCCTTGGGTGACTCTGTCTAGCGTCCCCCCATACCAGACAAAGATCTTTCTCGGTGGTCATCTCTCCAACATGTCTTCCAGGCTCTCAGGAAACCCACGTCGGAGTCTGCCCCATCCCATCTACTACAAGTGCCTCCACCGTGACAGGAAGGGCCAGGCCACTGTCCTCTCCTTGCCAGGTGTCTCAAGTGCCTGGCCCAAGGGGCACAAGAAGCCGCCACTCCCATGTCCCTGAGGCAGGGGTGTGGCTTTCCTTTCACCTCCAGAACAGTGGGGGGTATCAAGAAGCTGGCCACAATTCAGATGGCTCAGACACAGCCTGCTGGCAACTAACGGGAAGGGTTCCCCACAGGTCACGCCAGAGGGGCCTACCCTCAATGCCTGCCTCACCAGCCGCATGGGAGCCCCTCCTTCTAGTCCCATGTAGCACACCAGGGCACCTAGCATCAGAGGGCACCCTCAGACCCTGCAGCCACCCATCACTGAAAAGTACTGTAATGAACGGAAATGATGGCCTCCCGAGCTGCTAAAACTGAAGAGAAGCTCTATCAGCCCTGAATCATGGAGGACAACAGATGCAGGGAGGAAAAACAGGGGCAGAACTGCATGCCTGCCACTCGGGAAAACCAAGCAAGGCTGCTGGTGGTTTTCGGGACTGTGAGCTGCAGAAGTACTGGGCACCAGCCGGAGTAAAGAAATGGCTGGGTTTCTGCACCAGCCAGCCCAGGGGGCGCAGCTCGCCAGCATCCCTGCCAATGTCTATCTCCCCGAAGAGGGCACCATTGTCAGCAGCAATAACATACGGCTATTTTTCCCACTAGGGACCCTCTCCCTCATTTCAGTTCAGAGGGGCCCAACACAACCTAGCAGTGGCCCCAGCTTCAGAGCCAGATTTGTAGACATTAATCCCATGGTTTCCAGACCCCAGGATCTGGTCCTCACCGTAGGCTACAGCAGGGACCACCATGCTGGCATGTAAACCAAGCTACATTAAGGGCAGAGAAGGGCGAACATCCAATAGACAGGGCAGGAAGGTAAACGTCTCGCCTCTACCTTGCCTAACAGCTCCAGGCAGAGGTCCCGGGCTGCCTGACCAGACCTAAATGTTACAATTAACAAGGGAAACTACTCACACCAACTGGGAGGCAGAGGGGCCAGGAAGCCTGAGGACGGAGGTAGGAGGCACCCTGGGATGGGCTAGGGTGGCAAGACACTCAACACCACTAGCCTGGTCTGCTCTGGACCCATGGCACAGCTTCTGGGCCACAGAGGGCACCAGAAGCAGAGGGTGAGAGTCAGGTCAAGGCGCCCTTGCCCTATCAGCAGGACAATGATACAGTGGACAGCAGGAGCCTGTGTGATGTGGTCTAGCTGCGGCGGCCACTCTGCTCGCTCAGGACTGGTGTCCGTGGCTGTGGTGAAAGATGGCTATCTTCCACACAAAGGAATGGCATCTGGTCAGCTCCATTTGTGCCATGCAGGACCCACGGCTATCTTCCTGGGGCAGGGTGAAGGCTGAGGCCACCAGGTTTGGGTGCTAGGGTGTGCCAGTGTGCAAATATTTGTTCACGGACAAAGCAATGCTGGGAAGCACTTTGGGCGTGTTTCCAAATGAAATCAAGAGCCATAAAACATGGCACTGAGCCAGCCCCTCTTCTCTCCAAGGGGCCCCTCAGGAAGACACCCGTCTTCTATAGGAAGCTGAACACAGGGAACTTAGTGGGACCGTTTCCCAGTCTCTACAGTGTACACATTCTGCTGGGTTATGACAAGCCAATAAGCAGCCTGTACATCTCTGTCCGTCACATCTGACAAGTGTCTGGGGTCTCGTGGCACCACAGAACAGGACCGGCCTTTTCCTTGTAGTGAAAGGAAGTCTCCAGGACTCAGGGAGCCTTGGCTGTCCAAGGACGACATTTCTCTGAGTAACAGAGAACTATGAAGGCACAGACATGTAGGAGACCAGGTTTAGCTCAACCACAGCATCCTCACCAGAGTGCTTCTGGTCTCAAGCAATTCGCAGGGCCTCTCTGAGCATGCCCACAAATACCTACCTAGTGGGCGGGGCCAGCAGCCACTGGCCACCTGCTCTACAAGAAGCAGTCAATCACCGGTAGGAAACCCTTTCTCTTACCTTGCTGTTTAGGCACTTCCTTCCGTCCAATCAAGTCCCAGTTGGTTGCCCCAAAAATCAAAAGCTGCCCCTTGCACTTAGACCCTTCAAGTTTCTAGAGAGAGAGAGACACACAGGAGACCAAGAATTAGCTCGTTAAGGCTGGTCCTGGCACTCCAGTTAGCTGATGAAATAGAGAGACGGGCTCTCCCGCAGCCCAGACTAACCAGGAACGTACATCTAGCTCCAGCCAAGAGCTGGGGTTTTGAGTGTGCACCATCACCCAGGCGATTTTTGTGGGCAATTTCACACTAGTCAGAGGTCCCGTGCAATCAGCCCCTCTGTGCTCCAAGATGACTGCAAGCCCACCCTCAGAATTCTCCTTGTTAAGTCTGAGCTCAGCACTAACACCGAGCCAAAGCAGATCTCCACTCTCTGACTCCATGCTACAGAGTCATGCACAGGACCAGCCCACAAGGCTGGAGACCTAGGGACCTCACGCCCCACCAGCTACGTGGTCCCCACTCCAAGCGCCATGGCTCAGACAGCCTGCATCACCTCTGCAGGTCACCATGACATGAGTCCTGTGTGCTGCCCACGGTAACACAAAGGAGAGGGTAAGACCGGGAGGACACAGCTCTGGTGGGGCAGCAGGGTCTGAGGCAGAGAGAGGGCCTTCCACGGGCTCATCAGATGCTGCTCACAGGCGGGGAGACCAGTGGTGAAAAAGTGCCCCTCACGAGAGCTCCCGGCTGAGCCTGACTCCCTGTCCACTCCATTTTTAAGAGACAATTGCTACCTAGTTCTGACTGCCTCTAAGTCTCAGTGGTCCTCCTGCCTCAGCTTCCTTGGTACTGGACTACAGGCATATGACCACACCTGCCCAGTCAGGGTACTTCAATCCTCAGCCTTCTTACACACAAAAGATCAGGGCTGCCGAGTCTTGACTACCTGGACTGTACAAATCAGACATCTCAAAGGCAACTACACAGTGGCGGGCTACGCCCACATCAGCATCACACACGCGTGCGTGCAGAAGATCTCTCTTGGCTTCTATAACGTCAAAATACTTTTTTCTTCCCTTTCAACTTATACTTGTGGGCTACTGGGATGGCCCAGTGAGGGATGACTGATGACTCGCCATGCAAGCCTGACAACCTGAGTTCAAATCCTAAGGACTCATGAAGCAAAAAAACCAATTTGCAAAAGTTGTACCCTGACCTCCACGTGACCCCACGCCCTCTTATGCCTACCTCCCCCACACATATCCCTCCCAAGTACAAACAGTAAGTGTGTATCTAAGGAAAATACACTTTTTGCTTTGTTTGAAACAAGGTCTTATTATGGAGACCAGCCAGGCATCAATTTGTATAATCCTCCTGCCTCAGCCTTCCAAATCTACCCTGTAGGGCTGGAGCAACGGAACACGGGGTGAGTACTCACTGCTCTTGGAGGACCTGGAGTCCCAGCACTCAGATCAAGTACTGGCTCACAACCATCTGTAGTTCCAGGCAATCTGACACCCTTGGGACTCTGAAGGCGTCTGCACATACAGGGTGTGAGCATGCGCACACACATGTGGAGAAATAAGTACATTAAATGAAGAAATGAATGAGTGGACTCTTTGTAAAGTGCATTGTGGACTGACTAGGTCTAGCCTGGGCAAAGGCTTAAGCTCCATCCCCAGAACAGTAAGCAAATACATGACAAATAAAAGCAGCTAAATAAATGGGTTGCTAGGGTCAACCTGTGCAATCTGTGCCCCTGCACCTCCATCCCCAAGACAGACACCCTTCTCAGAGCCTTTGTGGAAGCTGGAGGAAACCAGAACTGAGCAGTAGCATTGGCTCCAATAGTTCCACCCCCACAGTGGCCCTTGGCTAGCTGTCGAAACAACACATCCAATACACCCCACAGGTCCCCAGCAGGCACACTAATTTTTTTTTTTTGGGGGGGGGAGAAGAGTGGACCTGACTGACCTCCCAGGTGTCCCCAGAATGTATATTCCCTACTTCCAGTCAGGTCCAAAAGTCAGAGGCAAGGAAGCTTGGCCAGCCCCGGCCTCACAGGAATGAGTAGCCACCCTGTTCAATTATTCAGACCTCCTGTGGGGCGTGGGGGCAGCCTCCTGGGGCCAGACTCAAGTTACCTGAATGGGGTGGGAGCCTACTTTCCCTTCCTCTCTCCTTTGTTCAAAGGCAGGTGTGGCTGGAATATGCTCTAGTCTTCAGGTCCCCAGAGATACAGGGGAGAGGCCTCAAAAGCTGCACGACCCCAGGCCAGACAAGAAGGGGAGAGCCTCTCAAGAGTGTCGAAGCTCACTCACAACACTGAGATGCAGTCACTCGGATCCCTGAGCACCACCAGGTCACGGGCTTGGGCAGGATGCAGGATGTCAGTATCCACTGCCATCCCTGCGGCTCCCGAAGCTTTCAATGCCCGCTAGGCAGGTAGACGAGCCCCACCCTTCTGAAAAAGGTATCTGTGGACAACCTTGCCTGGCTTCACATGAAACCCACAACCTGCTCCCCTGGCTCCAGCTTCTCCAACACAGACCCCGTCCTCACAGATCAGGGACTGTATCCACTGCCAGCATCTATGCGTGTTTGTCATTATCCCAACTACTCACCCCTCTGTAGCTTAATTCTTCCCTCTTCCTATGGAATGCCAAGTTTAATTAGTGCGATTCACAATACCCTTTCAATCAGGCCCTTGTCAGAAAACCCCTCATCCACACCCTATCAACAGCCTGTCCCATAAGCCTGCTGGCCTTATTGGAGAGGGCATCCCAGTGAACAAATGGGGGCTTGCTGGAAGAACTTGTACTTAGCCCTGGGTTCAGCCCCAAGGAAGGATGGACAGATGGAGGGAGGGAGGGAGGGGGAAAGAAGTTCGGGAGAAGGACGGAAGGGAGAGAGGGTGGAAGACAGGAAGGAAGGGAAAAGAGCAAGCTGAGCTTTCTCCACTCTCCAAGGGCTAAATCAGCCTCCAATGTGACTACATTTGTCTAACGGCCTACATGGCGTACCCCAACAGTCCAGGTCAGGTGAACGCCACCTCGCCTAGCTAGCACCCTATATGACTGAGCACACATGACCTGGACGCAGATGGACCAAGGCAGAAAAGGCACCAAGTGTCTGCAATCAGCAAACTGGGATTCCCTGGCCACAGCAGTCTCTGAGCTACCGCCCAAGTACACTTTGTGAGCGAGGGTGAGAGTCAACCTTCCCGCACATCTGTTTAGGAGATCCGTTTAGGAGACTGAGGCTCGGGGACTAGGAGGACCAGGGAGCATGATGCTGGCAACAACCGTCCATCCCAACCCTCCTCCCAGTTCACTAAGGATGAACAGTGCGTCTCAGGGTCCGTGGAACCTTAGCAACCCGACTTAAGACACAGAGCAGATGCCTGCGCCCGAGCCTCAGGTCCTTCAACAGCATAGGACAAGGTGGCTGGCTCTTAGTGATTACTGCCTGTCTTTCCCGACACACCTGCGTCTCTCAGGACAACTCTGCCCTCAACCTGAGTGCGTGGCTCACCTTTCCCAAGTTCAAGGTAAGGGAGAGGAAAAGCCGGAGGCTCAGACACTGGCAGAGGAGCATCCCACAGGGGAGAGGCTGGAGTCTGCTAGGTTAAGTAGCTTTCTGAAAAATAGTGGCTGACCTCAGCCAACAGTTCTGGGTCTGCCGGCCTAGCAGAGAGAGACCACAGCCCTTAGGCCAGACACACTGGGCAGCCCGCTGGCCTAGGCCTGTGAGAATGAACCTGGCTGCAAGACTGTGTTCTTACCCTTACCAAACTCGAAGATCCTAATGGAAGCAGAAGCCCAAGGCGCACACTTCCCAGGTGTGACAACAGATACCTTCTGAATCCCCATAGGTCCCTGGGTTCATCTATCCATGATCCTCTCTCTAACTGACCAGTGGGGGGTGGGGGGTGTCCTACAATGACAGTCCCCGGAGCTCTAAGAGGAAGAATGCACAGCTCTTTAAATTCTTGCTCCACACACACACACACGGGAAGTTAGCTGTACACGTAAAACAAGCACAAACTACAGGGGACGGCCTCTCCTCAGAGATGGCATCTCCTAGTAGGACACAAGATGCCAATTCCAACACAGGACTAGTGGAGACAGAGGCCTCTGCGCCCCTCCTACACTCCTCAAACGCATCCCTGAGAGGGTTAACAGTCTGCAGACCACAGAACTCACAGCCTGGCTCAAAGTCTCAAAACCGGGACAAAGAGCTGGGGGCCTATTTAACATATCAAAGACGCACTGGCCCCTAGGTTCCCCGGCATCCCTTGCACTACCTGTTACAGGGCCCCTCCAGGCTGACATACTCCGCCCCTTACCCTAAACCTAATCCAGCCCACAGGCTAGGCTAGCCTCTCCCCCTAGCTGCCCTTCCATATATAACCCGACCATCTTGGTCACCTCTCCTCTTTTGGGCTGTCGGCTACTGCATCTGGTTCCTCTCCCCACTTCTCACAAAGCTCCGGGTCACGTCCACTCTGGGCTCTCCCAGATGTCCCATGTCCGTTTAATCCTCAATAAACCTCCTCCTTTACCATACCTAGGAGCAGTCACGTCCTATCGGGTTTTTTTCATTCACAAAATGATTCAATTCCACACAGCTTTCCTCAACCAACTCCAGACAGCCCGAGACAGCAGAGGAAAGACCCTATCATGCCCAACTTCTTAGCCTTGTCCAAACCCACTAGGCAAAAAGCAGGAGAGCGGTTTCTGGGTACCCCTTCCAATACTCTGGCTAAGTAAGATCGTTCTACCTGGCAAGCCTACCTGATGTAGGGTGGCCCTGTATGCCTAGCAGGAGCCTTCCTTCTATTGCAGGATGATTAGGACTCTCTATCCCTCCTAGTGTGCCTGGGCAGCTAGGTGAGGTGCCCAGCTCCCTTTACCCTTGCCACCTTTGCAGAACCCCATTCGGAACGTGGGTGACACTCTGAGGGTCAAGCTCCATGTCTTTCTTAGGGTTAACAGAGAATGCGGTCTCCTGCAGAGGGAGGCGGAGGGGAGAGAGCTGTACCAAAGAAAACTTGCTTTACAAAGTTCTGGCGGAGACCGAGTGGACCCTGGGCCCAGCTCTGCGGGCCTTTTTTTTTTTTCTTCTCTCCCGCAAGCTCAAGTTCGATGGCCGAGACCGGAGCCTACAGGAGAAGCGAGCCCCCGGCCCCACGCCGCGGGCACCCGAGGCAGACAAAGCCCAGCGCCGCTCTGCGGGGGGTCGCGGGTGGGAGGAGAGCCCCCGGGCGGGGAGGGCCTCCGAGGAGCATGCGCGCTCACGCCCGTGCCGCGCGGGCCCCCACCATGCCCCGCGCGCACCGGCCGGCCGACCGCGCGGGGCACACACGGAGCATGCGCGCAGCGCGCCAGGCCCCGCCCCCCCGGGGCGCCCGAGCCGCAGCGGCGGGAACCTCAAAGCCCCGGCGCGAGCCGGCTGCTCCCCGCGGACCGCCCTTCCCCCCCCCCCCCGGAGGAGGAAGAGACGCAGGGCGGGGGGGAAGGAGGGGGGCGGACGCACGGGGGAGGGAGGGAGTGACAGCCCCCGCGCGGCCGCGCACACCCGGTCCCCCCGGCCCGGGACCAGCTCCCCGGAGTTCCCCGCGCGGCGTGGGGGAGGGGCGGGGCGTGACCCCGCGGCGCCCCCCCCCCCCAACCGCCAACCACCCGCGCCCCCGCCCCACTCACGACGCGCTCCTTCGTGTGCTCGGGCTCCGTGATGATCGCGGCCGCGCCGGACGCCTTGCCCGCTGTCGCCGGCCTGGCTGTGCGCTTGCCGCCGCCGGGGGCCCCGTCCAGCTCCGGGCCGTCCTCGTCGCCGCTGCTGCCGCCGCCGCTGCTGCTGCTGCAGCGCTCGGGCCGCTCGCGCTTCCTGCCCGCGGGGCCGCCGCGCCGCCGGGGCCCCGCGCGCGCCGTGCCGTTGCCCGAACTCGGCTCCTCCCAGGCCGCCCCCTTCTTCCTGGGCATGGTCGCCGGCTGCGGAGACACGGGCGCACAATGCACGGGCTGGCTGCGGGGCGGGGGAGGGGAGCGCGGCGCGGCGTGGGCCGCCCCACCTGCTGCTCCCTCGCCCCTCCCCACGCCGCGCGCCACGCGGGGACCCCCCCCCAGTACCCCGGCCGGGCCCCAAGCACCTGCGAGCACGCGCGAAAAGAGGAACTTTCGTGGGGCCCCAGCCCGGACCCCGCGGCCCCGCACTCGCCCCGTCTGCTTTTTTTTTTTTTTTTATTGATTTTGAACAATGGGATCTCTGTCTGTCTCCGATTAAACCACGTGGATCCGCCTTCCTTCCCCTTCTTATTCATTCTGTCCCCCAACCCCCCTTCGCCAGCGTTTTTTTTTTTAAACCTTTCTGGGGGGGGAGGGGGAGAGAGAGAGAAGAAAAAAAAAAAAGAGGAAAAAAAAAACTTTCCCAGACCCTGCAAACTGGTCCCAGACGGTTTCCAGCCCCTACCTGGTTGGAGTGATGAGAAACGAGGAAGGGAGCGACTGAAGGACGGGGTCGACAGCTTCTTCTGTCCCCGGCCCGAACGAGGGCTCCAGCCCACTCACCAGATACACTTAAAATGTAAATACGAGCTTCCAGAACAAATGCTACAACACAAAACAGAAACACATGTGCGGCCGGGCGGCAAGCGAGCGCGCGCGCGGCGGGCGGCGAGGGGCCCCGGGCGCGCGCGCCCCCTACCGGCCGGAGGACCCCACGGCCGGGCCGCCCACCGGAGCCTGCGTCCCGAACGCCCGGCGCCACGCCGCAGGCCCGGCTCGGCCCCGCCGCTGCGCGCTCCGCACGCCCTTCCACGCAGCGCGGCCTGCGCGTCACCAGGCGTCTTCGGGGCTCGGAAGAGTGTCAGATTCTCTTGTTTTTTCCCCTCTGATCGTCTAGACAGGTCACCTGAGGACACTCGCTGGAAAATAGTTTGCTTTGCTCACGCAGCAGCCAACGAGGGACGTGCCCTAATTGAGTGATCGGAATGAAAAGATGAATACAATTTGAGTAACTTTCTCCTATGCGAACACAGGGGTAGATTTGATTCGTCCTGGGTGCGTCCAGAGTGTGCAGCCGGGTGCTGTTACAGTGGTCGAGTTACGTAGAGGTTTGGTGTACTATGAAATTAGTAATTAGCTGGGGGACATACTATGAAATTAGTAATTAACATAGGTGGACTTGAAAGTACTTGTGATGGGAATTCTTTTCTCATTTTTAAAACGTATTTACCGCGCCCCCACTACAAGCAAGACTAGACGTCAAGGTGCTTAGAGTACAGACCTAGAGAACAAGATCTCTGCCCCGTTGGAAGGCGGAGTAAGAGGAAGATTAAGAAATTACTGAAAGCGTGGTACTTCCCCCATTCCAGGATCAAGGAAGGCGTTCCCTGGGCGAGCCGAGTTAAGAAATTTAAAGAATCCGACCTGCCAGAAGTGGGGGAGAAAACATTTCCCCAACCCCATGGAACAGTGCAGGGTCTAGGGATCCCGGAAGAGAAGCGGTTAAGGCTGGGGTCAAGGCTGAGGAGGCGACAGGGGCCCCCTCACAGGACCCGACAAGCCACGTGCAAGATTGCCAATTGGAGAAAGGTCGGCTTGGCTGGTACTAGGGGACGGTTTGCATCTCAGTATCACTTTCTCTTCTACCAAGTGTTTCTTCCTTTTTCTTTGGGGTTTTATTTGCGTCTCATGTAGCCCAGGCTGACCTGAAGCTGACCGTTTAGCCCAGGCTGGCATTGAACTTGATCCTCCTGCTTCTGCCTCTCAAGTCCCCGAGTTAACACTGAAAGTTTCTTTTTTGGCAACTTTCCTGATTGACTAGAGAGTTCTAGGGTCTTTGCAGTTCGTTCTTTATTACATTGAGAAGCGGGAGTGAGGAGGCGGGGTGGGGGCTCAGGACCAAACGTTTGAAGGCAGGCGGAGAATCCAAGAGCACCAAATCTAAGTTATTTGATCAAAGTCACGAGTCTGTGTGGAAGCACTTATGTAAAACAACTTGGAAAATGAGCGCCAACTGGTGCGTTTCAGAGATATTAGAAGCACCGTCTGAAAGCCTCTTAATAGACCTGGCATTCGAAAAGATTGAAGAGATTAAACCGTGATGCTTTGATATAAAACATTAGAATCAACCAGAAAAGAATTCTGCCTAAGTGTGCCGTCAGGTCCCGGTTTCAGGAAATGGCACGCCGGAGCTTGTCCCGGGGTGGTGTCTGGTTGGGCGTTTATCCTCCCGACAACACCCTGTGTGGCCAATTAGAAACGCTGAGGGTGCCTTTAAAAGGCTTTTAGGCAGCGAGTCTCTCTCTTTCTCCTGCCCCATTATACTGCTTTCTGCCGGCATAAAAGGCACATGCGTCAGAACCGCTGATGCAACCCGACGCTAATATCACGTTGCATCATCTGACCCAAGGTGTGGTGCTTCCAAAACTGGTTTTTCCTGAGGCTGTGCTGAGGAAGAAGAGCACTCGGGGGATAACACCCACTAACCAGCCCTCCTCGTCGGATAAGAAAAGTGTTTTCTGCCACTCCATGCTTGGGTGCCCCACTATTTCAGACCTAGGGAAATCCCCAGTGATGCCCCTGGTTGAGATGGGGGTGCGGGCGCACACACTCCTCCGCGAGGCATGTCGGCTGCTGTTCACCTTATGTAACCAGTGTGACAGAGTGAGGTGCACCTACGGGCTAAGCGGGGAGTGCCCCCTCCAACCTACACTGGCGCTTGAGATTTTTACTTCGTTTTAGTTGAGCAACTGCTCGGGACAGAAGAAAGAACGGAAGAGGAGAGAACAAATTCTATCTGGGCACAAATGCCGGCTTCCGTTTGTACGTGGAAATATGGGCAATCTTACTGTTAGTCTCCTCTGCTGCACCTTAATAAAGGTTAAACTCAGCGGCAGCCAAGGCCTCTCCCAGAGCTGCGATTCCATCCAGCTGGACCACACAAAGCTCCCCTCAGTAGTCCAAGAAGTCTCTGGTCTCATATATGGGAAACCACCCTCACGAAGGGCAGCGTAATCCTTGGGTTTTGTTTTAGGTAGGGTCATGTATCCCAGGCTGGCTTTTGACTATGTAGCCAAGGATGACCTTGACCTTTTGATTCGTGACCTCTGGAGTACGGAGATTGCAGACGTGCACCACCGTATATAAGATGCTGGGAATCAAAGCGGGAGCTTCTTACATGCTAGGCAAACACTCTAGTAGACCACAACAGACACACACCTCCAGCTCCAGGGATGAATTCTGATGGTCTGGGTAGGTGCAACTACCCTGGAACAAGACCAGGAATCTGGGAAGCTACTGAGCCCTTGAGTAAGGCTGGTCCATGGAACAAGTACTTTGTAGCACAAACACTCAATGTATTTCTTTGTTTCATTTGGGGCTTTTGGGGTTGTTTTGTTGTTGGTGGTGGTTTCCTTTGTTCTTGAAGCAAGGTTTTCCTGTGTAGCCCAGCCTGGACTTGAACTGGTGATTTTACTGCCTCATCTCCATAGTGCTGGCATCGTGGGTCTGTACTACCATACCTAGCCAATCCTAGACGTGAAGACTTAGAGCAAAAAAAAAAAAAAAAAAGCCAAACAAACAAGCAAAAAGCCACAACAGATCTCAGGAGTAATTTTATTATATTAATGTGGTATGTAGCTCTATAGTCCCGGTTACTTGGGGATCATAAGTTTGAATTGAGCTTAGACAACACATAGAGAGAGAGCTCACATAAGAAGCAAATAGAGTCAGGGATACTCATCAGGAAAGCACTTGGCCTGGCTTGTGAGAGGCTCTGGGTTCAACCCCAAGTGCACCCCAAAGTAAAGGATAAGCCTGGTACAATGTCACATACCTACAATCCTAGCACTTAGCTGGGAGAGACAAAGTTGTCAAGTTGAAGACCAGCCTGGGCTACTTAGTGGGCCTCAGACCAGCCTGGTATATATTATACCCACAGCCTTTCTCAGAAGCAAACCAAACGACATAGGAGCTGGAGAGATG